GGGGGGGGGGGGGGGGTTAAATGGTCGAGATTTCGTACAGGGGGATAACCTATATCTTTACTTTTTAAAGTAATAAATGTATATTTTCTCATAACAATTTTAAAAAAGCAAAGGTGAGATTATGACTATCAACATCCACTGATAAACACATGTAATTCCTGTTGAACAGATTTGGAAATTAAAGCAAAATGACTGCATTGGTGCAAAGATCCATCTTTAGAATAATTACAAAACAAACATGAGTTGATTTAGTACGTTTTATATTTTTAAAAAAAAAATTGAAGAGGACAGTTGAATTGATTCACTGTTACGGCTCTGGTCAGGGTTCAGGGTAGGGTTCGGTGAAGGGTTCTAGGCAGGGTTTAGGTCAGGGTTCAAGGTAGGGTTCCCGGCAGGGTTCAGGGCAGGGATCAAGGTAGGGTTCAGTGAAGGTTTCAAGGTAGGGTTCATGGTCAGGGTTATGGTTTTAAATAATCATCCGTGTAATTAAGCATAGTCGATTTAACGAATTTTTCTTTTAAAATTAAAATTAGTTATTATTTTTTAGACAATTGAACTAGGCCTGAGTGCTGTGCGTTTCTGACGGTACAGTAAACACTCAAACTGAACATATCTGACGGTGCAGGCAACACACAAACTGAACATATCTGACGGTACATTTAACACACAAACGGAAAATATCTGACGGTGCAGGAAACACTCGACCTGAGCATATCTGACGGTGCAGGAAACACTCAAACTGAACATATCTGACAATCACTCTGCAAGCCGTTAAATATACTAAGTTCAATTAATTCTATAGCTTAGGGGAATACCTAGTCTTTCACGTCATAATTTCTAAAGCGCCCGACTCCCCCCCCCCCCCCCCCCCCCCCCGACCCCTTTTTGACGTAATACTATTATGATGCAAGCTATGAAAAATTGAGGTGAGTGGGCGGGACGGAAAATAAAATTTCTTTTCTATAAATCATATATTATATCATACCCCTACGCACCCAAAAATTATGTGAGTTTGTAAAGACTTCAAACACATTTTCCTCAGCTTAATGCATATGGTTGACTGGTTCCCAACACTGGTGGAGGCTTCTGGGTCAACGTACACGGGTAGGTAATGCTGTGGCATTTAGTGTAGTCTTTGCTTGGTATGTTTAAGGCAGTTTTTTTTTTCTTAGTTCCAGGATACCTGGAGATAATTTCTATCTTACTGTCATGTCCGGAAATGGTGTGTTTAAAAAAAAAAAAAATTAAGTTAAGGGGCAAGTTCGTTAGAATACCCCCCCCCCTTTTTTTTTTTCCCTCCCCACGAACAAATACTGTGCCAGCCTTTGTGGATGGACGACAGCTGGTAGCATTAAGGCTATCACATTTAAAATATGGCCATGTAATGGGTCCAATTATGGGTATTTGTACAGAACATCAGACCAGTGCGTACATGGGTTGGGGGGAGGGGGGGGTGGTGAAGATGACGACAGCCCAGTGTGGCACTTTTGGCACGCTTATGTATGATGTATAATTAATGACGTGTGTATTTTAGTCGGGCGATTCTATGGGTTCATTCCGTATGCATTTAGGTCAATGTAACCCACTGCATCAGATTGACGGCTTTTGCGCCTCACCCCTCTCTCCAAATTATTAACACAGGTTAGACACTTTTATTACGCATTGTCACAAATTCGTGACACCCCCCCCCCACACACACTTTTTTTTCCTGCTCATTACGCCTGTCGGAATTGTAATTTATTTTTTCACCCTCCTATTTTTTTTTGGGGTTTTTTTTTGGTACCATCTTGTAGATCCCGATCAAGATGGCGTCAGCCAATGGTCGTCTCTTCAAACTTTCAGCACGCCCTCCAAGCGACAGGAAGTCGTGTATAACCTTGACCTTAGCATTGATCCCATTCAGGGTCGAGCGGCTATCAGGTGAGTATTCTCTGCCCCCACCTTCGAAGCAAGAAAAAATCACCAAAAAAAAAAAAAAAATCATTGGTGTGTATAAAAGGCATTGAATCCAACCACAAATTTTTAAACATTTGACATCCTCACTGACAATGTGTCCAGCCACATGACTCACATCTTCACTGACCATGTGTCCAGGCATATGACTCACATCTTCACTATGTGTCCAGCCATATGCCTTACATCTTCACTGAACATATATGTGTACAACCATATGGCTCTTATCTTCACTGACCACTTGTCCAGCCATATGACTCACATCTTCACTGACCGTGTGTCCAGGCATATGACTCACATCTTCACTATGTGTCCAGGCATATGCCATATGCCTTACATCTTCACTGACCATATATGTGTACAAGCATAGGGCTCTTATCTTCACTGACCACTTGTCCAGCCACATGACTCACATCTTCACTGACCATGTGTCCAGGCATATGGCTCACATCTTCACTATGTGTCCAGCCATATGCCTTAAATCTTCACTGACCATGCATGTGTACAGCCATAGGGCTCTTATCTTCACTGACCACTTGTCCAGCCACATGACTCACACCTTCACTGACCATGTGTCCAGGCATATGGGATCAACAGTCATTTTGCACAAATAGTACCCCTTATGATCCCATTCCCCAAATGTCCCATGCATCAGTCTTAGTCTGTTGACCCCCCTGCCTCACAATTAGAACCATGTGTGACGACATCCTTTTATTTCATCAAAGGCCGAAACCGTTCAACCATTTCTTCGTTTCAGGGTCGGGGACTTCAAACTGGTAGCCGGCTTCCCTGGTCTGTATCCCGACTGGTATAAACCAGGTCAGATAACGAGTGATGCCCTGGCCAACATCTCCCACTTGGCACATCAGATCAGCGACACGGGCCACATCAATTGGAGCGGCGTCAGTGAGACGCTGATTGCCATGGAGCCGCCCATCTTCTGTTACTTGTTTAATGTTACAGGTGACGTATAAGAAAATGAACGTAGTTTGTGTACGCGCCTTTCCACCGGTTGTGTTTAACTGCAGGTTGACCCAATTCACAAGTTATGCCTCGTTATCATTTTACTTACACAACGGTTCTGGCGGGGACAAGTGTTTTTTTTTTGTTTTTTTTTGTTTTGCACTCGCCCCCATTTCCCATCAAAAACACACACAAGAAAAAAAAACTAAATTGAAATGTATTATTTCACTGTTTAAAGAAACGAAGTGGCTATTATTCGGACCTGGGTCCGAGAAGTTAGAGGTTGGGATTAAAATTTAAAAATATATATATATATTATTGTTAGGTTGTAAGAACAAATTTGGTATCAAATGAAAGATAATTGAATGGACTATATGTTTGTAAACATAATTCTTCAGTTTAACTAAAATAAACTACCACAAATGACACCCGAATAGCATTGAGTCTAAAGGGACCCGGGTCCAAATAGCGGCGATGCGTCTCCGGTTCCATTTTGACTCAATGCTATTCGGATGTCATTTGTGGTATTATAGTTAAACTTAAGAAGTAAGTTTACAAACAAATAGTCCATTCTTTCATTTGATACCAAAAATTTTTCTTACAAACCCAACAATTATAATTTTTAAATATTTTTTTAATAAACCCAAACTTTAACTTATCGGACCCGAATAGCCTCAGCTTTGAAACAAATATTTATTTTTTTCCTTCTGGATACTCTACTGCATGTTATTAGACTAGTGTTATTTTACTATGTTCATTTCAACCAATCCTCAGACGACCCAACTGAGAGCAAGAACATCTACGACAAACATCCGGACATTGTTCAACAGCTGGAGGCCAGGCTTGCCTACCACAAGACCCGTTATGTACCGCCGGACTTCCCGCCCTACACGCCCGAGGCGGACCCTTCCCGTTTCGGTGGCGTCTGGACCCCTGGCTGGTGCTAGGAGAAAGGGTACCGTTAAATCAAGAGCAGTGGGTCTCAATCTCCGAGCCAGTGTTAAGGCCTATCGCACCAGACGGTGTGCCTAACCTGAGGAGTTGTGTCAGAAATAAAGGGATGCGAGAAAATGTTAAGTGCAGGAATAGGTCGGTTGTAATGTGCATGCTTTATGGAAATACAAATCAAACGATTTCAAACGATTTGTGATTGTTTGATTGTGACCGTGTGATTTGTGAAGCTTTAGGATAAAATTTAAACGTTTTAATGTGACTTTAAAATGCAATTAACTAAATGGATTTATAAATATAAACCAAATTAAATAAAAAATCCCTTATTTCAGTAATGATTATTAATAAGTTATATCATGTTATTTTTTATTCGTGAAGAGCGGGATTCTTCACTGTTACAATCGGGGACTGTGGTCATGATAAGCACGATAAGTTCAAATTGCTTTGGGCACATGGCCTATTACTAATACAAGTGGTTGTCAAACCAGCTGAAGGTGCTGTACAACTTTAGGGCTGTGAAATGTGCTCATAGGACTGGAACTAGAACTTCCAATTTAGGCAACTCTATTGCCGGCTGAGCTGATGATATCTGGTGGTGTGCACACAAATGAGTAACATACACATGGCAGTATGCAGTGTTGGTTTTGACAATAATTAACACAAATGGTGTACGATCAGGTCCTTTATTACATATCTAAACATTAGGAGGCTTGTCTACAGATCTCAACTGCTAATGAATTAAGTAATAGATGGTGGAATTCATTAGGTTATCTAGCAAAGGGATTCTTCTATCTACAGGCAGATGGATGGTGTGCTCTATATCTATGGGTTCCTGTCAAATATAATCACACCAAAATAAGTTATGCCAGATATTTAATCACATAAAAACATCATTAAGGAGCACAACTTGGAAACTTTAAACCTTATTTGATAGGGTATAAACAATCGTACCCGTAGGTGTAACATAATCTTTAAATTTGTTTAAATTAAAAACTATTTACTGCCAGAGTGATTTCATTCAGCGTAAAAAAACAAAAACAAGTTTAGTTAATCTTATAGTTATAGATATTCAAAATAATTAAATTGATACTAGTATTACTAGAATATTTCATATTGGCTATACTATAAATTTCACAACCAACTTCAATAAATCTTCACCTGTAACAAATGCAACCACACCATTACCGGTACTCAGATGAGAAAATTGATAAACAAAGAAATCCTTAAAAAAAAAAATTTAAACTTTAATTTATTAACCTTTAAGTTTAAGAACTATGGTGATACAACAACAGCATCATTAAAAATTATAAACATCAAACAATTGTACAAAAAACAACAAAACATTCCAACAAAAAGAAATGGGAATGCACGTTTTAAAGGGCTAGGTGGTGAAATTCATTAGCCCATAACATTCGCTCCGTGAAATTTCCTTCAGTGAGAGAGTGTGCCAAAAATACAATTGGGGAATTTCAGGATTAACTGGATGAAGGTTCTTTCTTACATGAGTATGTTACCATTGGCATTTTTAAAGTTCTTTCTTACATTAGTATAATTACCATTGACATTTTTGAAGGATCTTTCTTACATTAGTATATCATCATCGACATCAACAAAAGCCGCTTGCTTCTCATAACGCATTTAAAAATTTTTTATTCAATCCTCAAGTAAATATTGGCACAATCTCCAAGGATCAAATTTTCATCAATAATTAATAATACAAAACCTCAATTGACTGCAAATATTCACAGAAGAGAGTAACAATACCCCAAGTGGCAAACCATTTTTTTGTGTGACCTTAACAGAGAAAAATTGAACCCAGAGATTTAAACATTTACTTCAGAGAGCAAAAGAGAAACTCAGTGGACATAAATGAAAGAATTTAATTTAATGCTTCCATTCAAAGATTTGTGAATATTTGCAACAAAACAAAAATGTGGGGGAGAATTCAAAAAAATTAAAATTCATTATTAAATATATGATAACATTTAATATGAAACAGTCACTAATCAATTATAATTATAACAATACAAAAATAAAGATAAATCTATATGAATGTGCTTAAATTATATTTATTTTTAAAGAAATAAAATTATGTAAAATTAAAAAAAAAGTTACATTATTTACAGTTTTTGGGTAGTGGCTCAACTGAATGCTTAACATATTGGAATTAAGTAGGCTAATTGTTAATGTGGAATAACAAGACTAATATGAACTACAACTGATGACACTGAAAAAAAATCAATGATTTGTATGTCAGGAGCAAACTGTGTTTTTGTTTTTAATTAAAAATAAATGAGGCAAACACCTTTGATGGATTTTAGAGATGAAGTAAAAAATAAAATATTAACGCACCCCGTTTTCCACTATGCCCATTTTTGTTTCCTGCCAAATCATGTTCTTTTATAAATACCATGACAAAAATGTATTTCTCCCACAAAACAAAAACCCATTGAGTAAATTTTATTGCTAGCAGTCATATTTTAAAGAACATTAATGTGCAAAGAAAAGAGCTGCCACCATGTCCTTTTTTTCCTGGGATCAGCCAATTTGTACGAATAAAATTGTATTACAGAATACTGCTGCACTTGAGAACAGGCCACAACCAGTCATTACCATTTCCGAGCTTTGTTATAGAAGTGCTAACATCTCTAACCAGTGTCTCTAACCGGTACTGTCAATTTATTTGCTTTTTCAATAGTTTGCATAAATCAATCAGCTGGGGCAAAATTAAATCTTTCCAGTACTCTGCTGACAATCATAAAAATGTCTCAGGACGGTGAGAGAAATGATAAGTTTTACTCTTTTCGAGCACTGGATTTCCTAGGCCTACGTGCCTCAGGCTCTGGCAACGCTGCGTAACGTGATCTGTGAGCTGAATCTGCAATTGCTGCAGGGGAATGTCGAGAGCGTTCTATTCTCCGCCTCTGGTCAATACCCCTCATTGTGCTGCGCCATTTATCTTGGTACTCCTGATCAAAGGGCTGTGCTTCTTCTGAAAGGGAGAATTATAGACCAGACTTAAACAACAATAGAATTGTATATTTAGTTTTTTTCAATAAAAATATTCTGCGCTGAAGATATTTTATTCAAGAGGGTTCAATGAAATTCAAAACTTCATCAGCAAAAACAACTAAATTCACTGCTTCAAACTTGACCCAATTGTCAACATAAAATTTTATCAACAAACTTGTATGTTTTTACCAGCAAAATAAACAAAATTAAACTATTGATAATTACCTTCATCTAAATTAATAAGCTCTTGGTTTTCATGCTCTTCTCCAGTTCTTGCATTACGACTTCTCTCTATTATATGTGCTCTGTCTTTGATATGATGACCAACAGCACATTTTTCTAAGCCTGTTTCAGAATCACGCACAGCTTTTCTAGTTTCTTTAACCTACAAATGAAATGAATAAACAGATTTCATTAATGCAAATTTACCCTAAGGGTCCTCCAACTTGAAGATTCTACCCAAAGTGATAAAACTCTGCCGAGGACATGTGTGCTTAGATGTGCCGTAATATTTTATGCACATATTTTCTAGTGATATGAAATTATGGGAATACAAGTTAACTCATTGGCTGCGATAATCTTGTTATGAATGGGTGCAGGTCACACGTAGTGCTTGTTGAAAGGAAAGTCTTCACTGAAATACATTGATTTCACTAAAAAGTGACTAAAATGTTTCATAAAGCATAACATAGATTTAGGAACTTCTTTAAAAAATTTCAAAATATAAAACTGCCAACTTACACCACCAGGGCCTTGCATTGAAGAGGTGGAAGCTTGATAGACTTTTGGGGCACCATTACCAGTGTTAGAGTAAGACATAAAAGATGAATGTTGATATACTTGAGCATTGGGATCGTTAGCTGTGTGTTCCTTAAATTATAAAACAGAAACAAATTACCAATACAAGTAAAATTAAGTTGAACCAATAAATATTTTTGCAGGAAATAAAAGCCTAGTCTTGGAGGGATTATTACTATTTAAAAGATATACACTGCATTTTTATACACACAACAACAAAGATGTTCCCACACTAATACATGGATCTTTTTCTAATCATGACACTCCACCCACACTCAATAAAACATATTTATGAAAGAATAAATGCAAGGTTTTGAAATAACAACTAACTGCAGATTAACATCTGCAAGTGTGATAATGTGGAGTTAACTCTGTTGAACAAGGTTTACTTACAAAGGCTCTGTGCATGTCAGTCATCATAGACCTCATGTTAGAGAACATGGAGCCAAAATGAGCAAAAGGATCCATGAAAAGACTCTGCCCAGCAATCTGCATATTCTGCGCTTGCTGTTGTTGACGTCTATGGTCTGATCTCCCATCTGTCAGTGATAACAAGCCCCCTCCATAGCCTGCAAAGGGGTCTCTGAACACATGGTTCATCTGCCTGAAGTGCTCCTGATGACCACTACAAAAAAAAAATAATTCATGGGATGAAGATTCAATTATCAATTCAGACATAATCATTCAATCTTATATCAAAACTAACTCAAATTATGGCACAAACTTTTGTAAAACATAGTGTGTGAAAAAAAATAATTAAGGCAATATCCTCATTTCCAACAGACCTGAATAGTCATACACCAATGGAAAATTGAATGAAGCCTTTTATAACTGAACTATTAAATGTATTTAAAGTATGTTCGGCTCAATTTGTTAGTGAACACTTCCAATGAAAAGAAACACTTTAAAAAAAAATCAGGTTGGGAAATGCTGGTCTAGTGCCTAACAATTTAAATGATTTGTGGCAACAAAATATGTCATAAAGAATATGATGGTAATGGTTTTAAAATATTTCAAAGATCTTGATTGTCAATGAAGAATCAGGACCAATATAAGATGATAGTGACAGGCTGTTGTTGAGCAATAGTAATTTGTGAAAATATTCATTAGGACTAAAGTTATGACACTGTCATGGTCTGTCTCATGCCAACCATGACACATAAATCAGATAATTTAACTTCACATTGCGATGGTTTAGTAGCATATTACAGTCAATGTCCCCACCTGACCATTATTTCATTAATGGCACTTAGAAAAATGCATTAATCCTTAGAATTGTCAAATTCTTCAATAAGGGTTCTGTTTTTCCCCCCTCACCCTCTACTCAACAACCAGGTTATGGACTAGTTCAGTGGTCGGCTAATCTTGGCTCGCGAGCCTCATGCAGCTCTTGGTCAGCCAGAATGCGGCTCGGCCAGTAGCCACAAATTGTTTTTGACTCTGAAAAACATTGTTCTTGAAACGAAATTTGGCTCTAAAAATTTTTTTAATCGCCCTACTACTGATATTTGGCTCTTTTGACTAAAGAGTTTGCCCACCACTGGACAAGTATATTAAATTAAAACTGTTTCTTTTTCTTTTAAATTCCTGCCTTCTTAAAACTTTTAAATTTTGTAACACTGGGTAGTGACTTCTTTAGACACTCTGCAATTTAAAAAAACAAAAAACAGATCTTATCTATTAAGACATGTCATCTGTCAATAGAAACGTGTGTAGCTTAGGAATAAAATTGGCTAAATAAAAAAGTTGGTCACTGTTCTCACCAATGTTTAGGTAACAGAAGTTTGCCATCCCCATATTCTGATTAAGTATCAGTAATGTGAATTATAGCAGTACTTGTACTACTGGATAAAATAATTGTTTTGGCACAATTTTTAGTTTATCAAAGTGGATGGCAGTACAATTGCATTGGATATCACTGGCTTTTAAACTGAGTTTATCACTGTGATTTAGGGACTGATGCCTTCTAATTAATCAAAGTAACCAACCTACTACAAAAGAAAATTGTTTGCAAAATGATGTTACATAAGTTGCTCATAAATCTCATTTAAAAAAACTGAAACAGTTTATTAAACTACATTTATGGAATATCAAATTGAAGCTGATAATAATAATTAATATCTTAGTCTTCTACTTTTAGTTATTAATTAATAAATAGTCTTAGCAATGACAAATTAATAAATAAAAATAGGCCTAGGCATATTGATAGTATGACTATGACTGACTATGATATTATACTTTTTAAAGGCCCAGAGGCTTGCTGCCCTAAGCCAAAATAACTTCTGTCTGAATTTGACAACATTATTTCATGATTTAGGCTATTTGTTTATACACTTGAAATTGCACAACTAAAGTAATGTATGAATGCTTCAGAAATATAAAACGGAATAATATTTTGGCTTACATGATGTAAGACATTAGCCATGATAATTTTGTGAAAATAGCAGGGCTAAAATGTAGTTAGGGGTAGGACCGGCGACTGCTTCCATGGTAAATAGATCACGGAGTTTCCTCAAGTCAATTTTTCTACTCATGTACATTTTTGTCTTGAAAGAGGTGGGAGGGGTCTACCCTTCCCAGAAAATTATGTTGAAATGTCCCCATGAAATTGCAACATGACTGATACCGATAGAAATAAATAGCATACATTTACAGTATCATACAGTTACATCATTTTTCCACTATTCACAAGAAAGCACTTTTAACAATGGGCTAATCGTTTTTCCGGTGTTCATCTTGGGGTAACAGCAAGAATGAGTTTATTTTTAAAATTTCTTTTAAACCTTGTAAGTTTAAGTTTGCAAATGGAAATTTAATACATTTCTTCATATTAACTGTTTTGATGGCAAGATTTATTTATGACAAGAATAATGTTTAATGATAATGATTAACGGAAAAGAGATTAACAGGAAAGAAATTATACACATCGTTCAGGTCCAACTGTTAGTCCTTTCACCCTCTAAGTTCAGTGCTGGGATTCCCCTATGCTAAGTGATGTCACCTTATTACTAATTATTCCATGCACTATTGACTAGAGTCTAGGCCATGCTGCTATCTCAACTGTACTTTACCACAACTATCAATTAATTAGGCCTACAGAAAATAGTATGGGCAATAATTTAAATTACTTACTTAGTAACTTATGTTTAGATAAGACATATGAAGGTAATTGTAATTTAAGACTAACTCACAACTCACTGTACTGAGTTCTGTGAGAACAAGTTGCGGCATAAGGTTATTTTAATATGGCTTAAGAACTTAAGGCTAAGACTAAGGCTAAAGCAAGGGCGTTGAATACTTGGCCTAATAAAATACTAATATTATTGGGTGCCTTTTATTAGTTTTAATACGATTAATTTTCACTATTTATTTATACGATATTCGCTCTAAAGTATTACTAGACTCATTAGTGACATTAGTAGGCCATAGGGCTAATGTAACGTTTCAGTCAGTAACGTTTTACACGGCACAAGGAACTAAAAATATCAATAACGTCAAGCCAATGATGGCGACTATTACTAATATTATATTGTCGAATTGTCATTTCCAGATGACAACCAGGGAACGAATTATATAATGTAAATCTTGTCTAAATACTCACGTGAAGAATGGATCATCGAATAAAGAAGAGCCAAGCATGATTTATTAAACGTCAAATTACTTCTAGATTTCTTGAAATCTTTATACAAATGAATGTCAAATATTTGTTGAGTCTTGTCAATCTTTTAAGGTCCAGACTTCTGGTTGCGTAGAACAAGCGAAAATTCTGTGTACTACGTCATACAAGGCCGACCAATCAAAATATGTTTTACTTCTATTTCTAAGTGCCTAGGAATATGTCTTAAATTAAACGATTGGTCGCACCCAATTTTAACAGTATAATAACTGCTTTCGTGATCTTTCTAGACTTAAGTCTTAAGTTGACACATATTAGTATTAGGTGTCGAACCGTACATTACGTGATGAATTGAAAATTGATAATAATTAAAACATGAAAATAGCTCAAATTTCAGACAATAATGTTAAATTGTAGCTAAATGGAATATGAGAGACATCAACCAAGGCGTTAGATCAGACGACAGGGTACATTGAAAAATTAAATCAATCTAAAAATGTTGCCTGATGAGTCGCATGTTGGTCTTTAAAGGATTACATAAAAAGTTTGGCTTAGAAAAATCTATAAGGGGCCATACTCAAAAATGATTACCGACCCCTGAACTAGAATTATTAACTAACTTATCGGCTAAGTAACAACTTCTCCGTTCAAGAAGGGTCAAGTATGGATAAAATAAAAACTCTTTGTAAAAATTAGTAATTTTTTTTTTAGGATTATGAAACTATGAAATGAAGGTCATAGCCTTAGTAGCAGAGGCGTAGCCTGGTGGGGGCAGGGGGGGACAGATGTCCCCGGGTGCCAGCTAGTGAGGGGCGCCAAAATGTGCTTTGATATTATTTTATTGCTGAAAATAATGGGTTTGAGAGTTGAAAAAAGAAAAAGGGGCGCTAAAAATGGATCTTATCCCCGGGCGCCAAACCCCTCGCTACGCCACTGCTTAGTAGCGTTGCTGTGAGATTAGAGAAATACGGGGCGGGCAAAGTTTTTTTTTTTTTTCGTCCCAATTCCATTTAGAATAAAAATAACCTCTGCCGTTTTCCGAAAATGCCATCCCTCAATATGAATGGAAAAATTGCCACCCAAGGTGGACCTCGCCACCTTCATACGCCATTATAATTATATAGCTCATGTGGTGTGACAGAAAAGAAAGTAAACGTAGATACTTTGATGTTGAAAGAAAGGCGAAGAAATTTAAGTTTTATATTTATTTATGCACATTTTCTTTAAATGGATGGCCCTTAAGTTACAAAAATTTTTAAAAAATTAAAAAAAGTTTGCAATGCCATATTTGGAACGCGTGCAAGTCATTGGCCATAGGCAGTTCCTGTCATGTCTGATCACTAAATTTCTGTCTGACCGATTGGTGCTCTAATCAGGCCCGCGCCTAAAAAATTGGGGGGGGGGGGGAGCACATCCTTGGCACTTGTCAGGGGCCCGAGCTAGATCGCAGCCCGCCCTTTTAAGTGGCGTTTTAAAATATACGCACATGTTTGAAACACGAAAGGGGCCCGAACTCTGTCAGCTGCCTGGGGCCCAGAATTTCCTCGGTGCGGGCTCACTCTAATGAATTGTCTCAAATGGCCACAGTCTATACTTACAGTCCACCAAAAAGATCATCATCACCGTCACTGAGGCTAGACTTGCAGCGCCCTCGGCGCTCTAGACTGGGGCTGTTTTCGTTGATGTCGCTCGTGCCATGGCTGACTTCGGAAGCGCGCCTCGCCTTTTTACGATTCTTGCCTTGCTTTTTGCTCATGTTTACACTACATGGGACCATGCACTCGTGCTCGAACCTTTAAATGAAATACCGAATTAATTTGATTCGTTTATCGCCGCAGTGATTTATGATATTATATGCCCTATATAAACGATAGCTCTGTATTACATATCAGAATAATATGATTTTTTTTTCGTTTGAGACCTTCAGGAAAGACTATAACTAATAACACACCATTTAAGAAGACGAAGCAAGCAGGGGTGAACTGGGCCGCTGGGACATCGGGAAGATTCCCGATGGGCCGCTAGGACCGGTGATATAATAAAAATAAAAGTCATGAAGATAGGGCCGGGTTTAGTTTTTTTCCCGGGCCGCTTTGATTTTTTCCCGGGCCGCTTGAACTCCCCAGTCCACCCCTGGAAGCAAGCAAATTTCAATTTCAAGGAAATGGCCAGAAATTATTTTATTTAAAAAAAAATTGCTAATTATTATAATTTGTAATAGCAAAAGATACAAGTTGGTTGTCAGTTAGCTTGGCTAGTTTGAAAAAATTGAAAAGCATACATTTTAGAAAAGTAAGAATTAAATTAACAAAAATAAATAATAATTGTTATTCAAGATTGCTCAGTACCCCCCCCCAACCCCACCCCCCCCCCCACAAAAAAACAACAACAAAAAAAAAACAACAACCCACAATCAAAATGATTAACTACCACATCCTTCGCGTTATATAATACTTCAACTGTCCCTAAGGCTAAATGAAGATGCTTTGATGATCTGGCATATGATACGTGAACTTATGGCCCCTTATGGGGGTTTAAATTCGGCACTGATTTCTTATAAATTTAAAAGTATCTGAGCCAGCGGTTCTCACATGTAGGTCACGACCCCTTTGTTGGCCGAACAACCCTTACCCATGGGTCGCCTACATGGGCGCCCGCAGGGGGGATGGCAAGGGGGGCACTTGCCCCCCCCCCCTGGATTGATTGGATAAAATTTTTTTAGACAAAAAATTATTAAAGTAAAGAGAAAATAAAGAGAAAGTAACTAAGCTGATGTCCTGGTCTTTCATTCACCATACAAATACGCTACAGTAAATTAAAACTAAATTAAAACATTACTAAAAAATCCCCCCCCCCCCTGGAAAGTTAATCGATTTTTTCTGTCCCCCACCCCCCAACCATCAGTTAAGAAATACCTCAGCCGTCACATTGTAAGCAATCTGTTTCCTCTGGAAAGTTAATCGATTTTTTGTGCCCCCCCCCCCTAGAAAATTTTCTGCGGGCGCCCATGGTCGCCTAAGACCACCGGAAAATACATTTATAAAGTTGCACATGAAAAACATTTTTATGGTTGAGGTTCACCACAACACGAGGAACTGTATTAAAGGGCCGCGGCAGGGGATGAGAACCACTGTAGACAATGTTATTCATAAAGAAGAGATTTATTTTCGTAGATCTATAGTACATTACTAGCCCCCCCCCCTCCAACCCCCCCCCTCCCATCAACTCTTCTTTAAAAACAAAAAAAAAACAAATCTACTTTCCAGTACCGCGCACTTTATTCCCGTTACATTGTAACTTACATATTTGAAGCTACGTGGATAGCGCCAAGTCTGCTTCATGAACATGTAAGCGGTAAAAATGTATCGAAAAACTGTCAATGAGAAAACACACGCAGATGCACACGCTCTATATTACATTCTGAAGGCCACACAGTGTTTCTTGGATCAATGAACAATTTTTGACTGTGGGCAAGGGACAATGACGTTGATAAAGGCAGAACATTAACATTTAAAAAAAAAAAAACTGCAATAAAGTAATTAAATATAGCAGCATGATTTGAAGTGCCGAGTTGTTAGTAGTATTAGAAATAGTTTAAAGAAATCGAAGACTGTAGTGTAAGGTAGCCAACATGAAACATTGTTTTAACAAAGATACTTTGGGTTTTCAGTGACTTACAACTTCGCTTGGCCTTCACATATTGGATTTTGCGTTGAAGAGTGTGTGAACCGGAAGCCTTATATTTATTCACTTTTTTTTTTTTTTTGCTCACATCAATGTCCTTGAACTTATGCGTGTATAAATATAGGCTGTATTTTTATATTATATACAAAAATTTAGCTTCATAAAGTTGAATCACGGATTCCAAAATCTGGACCCGTTTGTTAGTTTGTGGTGGAATCTTGATTCTCAATTTCGACCCACTTCTTGCAGTCCAAACTAAGCTGACACTTTGTTCACTTACCCACCCCCACCCCCCGCCACCCCGATGACAATACAACACTTCATCATCAGTAGGTCCCCAGTGACCTCCACTGACCATCGAGTGACTTTCTGCGAATATCTCAGGTTATAGTTTTTCCACCACAGTATTTCCCTATGCACGGTTACACGTTTCCGATACTAAACAACGATGACGTCACACTTTTTAACCACAGAAAGGTCACCACCGATGGTGTTACGTGTTTGTTTGTCATGGACGCCCCACGTTTTCAGTGGGTATGTTTCAAACCACTTCCGGAACATCTAATACATCTTCCAAGACAAAAATTAAAAAAAAAAAATATAGAAACTATATATATAATTATATAATTTAAACACGTTTTTTTCAAAAATGCACAAAGTTAAGAAGTATAAAATTAATATCTCCCAAACTTCAACGTTGTCACAATCAAAATATGACTAAAAAAAGATGTAGTGCGCCCATGAAATACAATGATGTCGTATGACTTGACAAATACAATGTTGGACACATGTTGTAGGCCTATACGTTTCCATTGAACTGATAATAAGTGTTATGTGACACTATGGTTATGATACAGAGGATTTAATCATGGACGTACGAGTTCTCACAACTGCACTGCATTACCGTTGCGTGCTCACCATCGATCGTGATCTTGAGAAGTGGACTTCGATACACAAAGAACATTTTAGTTTATGGGGCGCCCCCATGCTTTGTTGAGTCACGTGGCTATAACCAACTTAACAACGCTGACGTTTTGGGGGGGGGGGACATTTATTTTATACTGTTAAGTTATTACATTTTCGGGAAAGCGTGTGAATGTGTGTGTGTGTGTGTGCATGTGTGTGTGTGAAGTTGTCATTAAATGTGTAGTCTATCTCATCGGTTAATTTTTGTATCAACTTTCCCTACATATTATAAGTCATTTTTTTTATATTGTCCCTGGTGTGCGTAGTGGTTTAACATAATAGAATAGTTATAAATATATTTTTAGAAACTATTACTAGAGTGGCTCACATGGTAATGGCACCCTAGCCGCGCTGCGCCAATGACTGTGGTGGAAGGGGTGGGGTGGCTAAAGTTTGTGACGTCACCTGCGGTTTTTTTGTTTACCCGGTATAAATTCACACACAAAAAAAACAAAAAAACCAAAAAAAAAACCAACATGTTGCATATATCAAACCTACCTAGTGGCATGTCATCTCTCCGGTTGCCTATATCAAACCTACCTAGTGGCATGTCATCTCTCCGGTTGCCTATATCAAACCTACCTAGTGGCATGTCATCTCTCCGGTTGCCTATATCAAACCTACCTAGTGGCATGTCATCTCTCCGGTTGCCTATATCAAACCTACCTAGTGGCATGTCATCTCTCCGGTTGCCTATATCAAACCTACCTAGTGGCATGTCATCTCTCCGGTTGCCTATATCAAACCTACCTAGTGGCATGTCATCTCTCCGGTTGCCTATATCAAACCTACCTAGTGGCATGTCATCTCTCCGGTTGCCTATATCAAACCTACCTAGTGGCATGTCATCTCTCCGGTTGCCTATATCAAACCTACCTAGTGGCATGTCATCTCTCCGGTTGCCTATATCAAACCTACCTAGTGGCATGTCATCTCTCCGGTTGCCTATATCAAACCTACCTAGTGGCATGTCATCTCTCCGGTTGCCTATATCAAACCTACCTAGTGGCATGTCATCTCTCCGGTTGCCTATATCAAACCTACCTAGTGGCATGTCATCTCTCCGGTTGCCTATATCAAACCTACCTAGTGGCATGTCATCTCTCCGGTTGCCTATATCAAACCTACCTAGTGGCATGTCATCTCTCCGGTTGCCTATATCAAACCTACCTAGTGGCATGTCATCTCTCCGGTTGCCTATATCAAACCTACCTAGTGGCATGTCATCTCTCCGGTTGCCTATATCAAACCTACCTAGTGGCATGTCATCTCTCCGGTTGCCTATATCAAACCTACCTAGTGGCATGTCATCTCTCCGGTTGCCTATATCAAACCTACCTAGTGGCATGTCATCTCTCCGGTTGCCTATATCAAACCTACCTAGTGGCATGTCATCTCTCCGGTTGCCTATATCAAACCTACCTAGTGGCATGTCATCTCTCCGGTTGCCTATATCAAACCTACCTAGTGGCATGTCATCTCTCCGGTTGCCTATATCAAACCTACCTAGTGGCATGTCATCTCTCCGGTTGCCTATATCAAACCTACCCAGTGGCATGTCATCTCTCCGGTTGCCTATATCAAACCTACCTAGTGGCATGCCATCTCTCCGGTTGCCTATATCAAACCTACCTAGTGGCATGTCATCTCTCCGGTTGCCTATATCAAACCTACCCAGTGGCATGTCATCTCTCCGGTTGCCTATATCAAACCTACCTAGTGGCATGTCATCTCTCCATCTTCTTTAAAAAAACAGCGATGGTTTAACTCCTGATCTATAGTTGCACCTTCTCGAGCCACTTATATTAAAGAGGCTGATCCTGGAGTGGCAGTCTGGGTTCACTTCTTGCAGGAGAGCCTTGATTGTTTGTGTGTGTTTTTTTGTTTCTTCGTTTGTTTTTGTGTGGATCTGCACAGGCTTTCCTTGTGTAAAGAATTTTTAAGGCGGGAATAACTATTTTCTGCATTTTTAGTACATTTAAAATCGTCGTTGAAACTATTGCGATAGTATTCCTTATCTCTCGCTCAACTCGTATAAAATTTAAAAAAAAAACAACTATGATAGTATGTTATACTAAACTAAGAGAGCATTTGACTCTTTTGGCACGGTAGTGAATCTGGTATCGTTAATTCAGAATCAGATGATGGTGCTCTATGCGGTAACACATTATGAGATTCCACATTTCATGTTTAAACCTTCAATATACACTTTTTAAAACTAACATCTGAAAATGTTGTGCTTCTGGCTTAATTTTTATTGCGCCTGTCTCTTGTAGTGATCTAAAGAAGTCAAGGTTTTCCATGGGCGCCCGCTGGGGGGGGGGGGGGGGCAAGGGGGCCCTTGCCCCCCCCCCC